CACGTTGTGGCGGCAGGTGGGGGAGTACCGGGGCACGTCGCCATAAGTCATCCTGAAAGTGGCAGGGTCCCCGGCTCAGCTGCCACGTGCTGGGGTGGGGCCGGAGTCTGTGGCCTGTCCTAGAGGGGTTGTCACCTCGCGGGAGGAGGGGCGAAGATCTGGAAGTTATTAGACGTCTGATAGTGGGCTGTTGGTTGGATGCACTTACGCATCTTCTGAACAGAATCTTTGATGACCTTGGGGGAAAGAGCTTTTAATGTTGTTGAATGAGGAAAGCAAGTTATATGTGTGTCCTTTATAGAAAAAAGGAATTATATACATGAAAGATGTTAACAAAGGTAATCTGGGTGGCAGGATCACAGCGGGGTTTTGTATTATTTCTCTCCATATGTATTTTCTAAACACTTACAATGAAAAAATAGAAATAGTCATAGACCGTTGAGGCTGCTGTAACAAAATACTACAGACTCATAAACAACAGAAATTGTTTGCTCAGCGTCCTGATGGCTGGAAGTCTGGGATCGGGTGCCGGCATGGTCGGGTGAGGGTTGTCCTCTGTCCTCTGGGTCACAGGCTTCTCGCTGTGCCTTCACAGGGTGGAAGCAGCGAGGGGCCTAGGGGCTCTTTCTGGAAGTGTTAATCCCATTCCCGAGGGCTCCATTCTTGTGACTTAAGCCCCTCCCAGCATCATCACGTGGGGGGTGGGAGTCAGCATAGGAATTGGCGGGGGACACATTCAGGCCATAGCTTTTTTTTTTTTTTAAAGCCCAGTAACCAACATTTAACAGTTGCCTCCCTGGCAGCGTGCCTCTGCTGATCCTCACAGGTGCCACCAAGCGGCCAGCGGTGACCTTCGCTGGCTCCAAGGTGGCCGGCTGGCTGGTGTTCCTCCACAAGTCCAGCTAGACTGGCTGTGGGTGGCTCTGCCAGCTTTCAGGAAGGACATCCCCCTGGGGGGCCTGAGGGTGCCACCACTCACTTAATGAGCCCCTTGTTCTGAGAACCCATGGCGTCAGAGGTTGGAGCTCAGGTGGGCACCCGCGGTCCCCTGGGCACCAAGGGACATCTCAGCGGGTGCGGCTCAGTGGGATTTGGCGGCGGGGCCTGTGGGTCATCCCGAGGCTCTCTGGGCATCGAGGCCTGAGAGTCCCGGTGACTGGCCACTGTTGAGAGGAGAGCCCAGCCTGTCCGCACGGGTGGGGATGGATACTGCACCCTGAGGGGGCTGGTGCCCTGCAGCTTAGGGACCATGCTCAGGGAGGCCTCCTGCTGCCCCGGGAATGTGGAGAAGTGGGTGTCCATGTGGGGTGCGGCGCCAGTGCTGGGGTGAGTCCTGGGGTCCCCCGTGGGGAGGCTGTGCAAACGGGATGCTGATTGTAGCCCCTCTGGGTGGTTGGGGAGACAGAGCGAGTCCATTGGGAGGGAGCGCTGAGCCGCGGGTGCCTTGGTATCTGCAGGGTTGGGTGCTGGGTCCGGCGTGGCCCCGTGAGCCCTTTCTCAGGATAAGTGCTGGGTGCTCTCCTGTGCCCTGCATCCCGTTACTAGAATCCTCTGTTCCTGGTGGGGGCGTTGCCCTCAGGGCTGTAGCGGGCAGCCCTGCGCTGCAAGGCCCATCGCGGGAAGGGATGCAGGTCCCGTCACAGGTCCTGTGGGGTGCATGTGCTATGCCAGGCGCTCTGCTGAGCGGTGCTTATTACTTAGTTACCCGGACAGGCCCCGGAGGATGGTGATCTCCCCAGTGTGGATGAAGGGGCGCCTGGGTGCCCAGTCGTGTGGGCAGGGCTGCACCATGATTGGCAGAGCTGGGGTTTGGACCAGCAGAGCGTGTGTTCACACATGCGCACCCATTGCTTCAATACCCGAGACAGGCGTGACCCGGGATGACAGCTCCTCATGAATTCTGTTGTTTACTTGCTTCTGGTTGACAGGGACAGTATTGTTTTATGTATCGTGTCGTACAGATGTTGTCTAAATGTGGGTCCCTGTTGAGGGACGTGTGTGGAAAAGTGAGTGCCGGTTCATGGCAAAAGCAGCTTCTGCAGGTGTGGGATGCATGTGAACCAGGGACATCGTGAGAGCGTCTGCTGGTGACTTTTCCCCCCGCCATAGGCAAGGGCTGCCGTTGGCTTTCAGCCCTGCCTTACTGTCCAGCTGTAAGTAAGGTGAGCTGGTCTTTGTCCTGCTAAGAAGAGTCAGGGCAACTGTGGACAGCCCACTTCTCTTGGCCCCAGTTTCTCTGTCCATGAGATGGATTCCTAATTGTGTCTGCTTCTCAGGCTGTTGGGAAGATTCGGAGTGATGGAAGGTAGAGCGTGTGGCCCGGTACCTAGCACAGAGTAAGGGCTTCATCCATGTGTGTCGTTGATGTCACTGCTGGGTCCACCTGGGTGAGTGGGGTGAGTGGAGCAGGTGGCCTCTGAGGCCTTCAGGCCCCAGGATGACGTGTGGCCTCTCCGGACAGTGGGGGGATCTGCACCCAGAGCAGAAAGGACACTTTCTCAGATGCGGGATGTTTTCTCGTGTGAGCGTGAGGCGTTCTGGCCTCAGTGGCACTAGCTGTGAAATGGAGAAATTCTGTGTTATGTGGTGTTTGGCGCTAAAACTTATCTGAGGCCACGTTCCATTTGACCTGTTGGCAGGATGTTCTTTTACAGATAAAGCCCTCCTTACCCCCAAGCGAAAAAAAGAAGCATTGTGGGAGGTGGGTCTGTCTGACTTAATAAAAGTAATCTCTGTGTGTCTTCTTTTTTTTTAATACTTTCAAAATATTTATTTATTTATTTATTTATGTGGCTGCACTGGGTCTTAGTTGTGGCATGTGGGATCTTTAGTTGCTGCACGTGGGCTCTTAGTTGAGGCATGTGGGACCTAATTCCCTGACCAGGGGTGGAACCCGGGCCCCCTGCATTGGGAGCGCGGAGTCTAGCCACTGCGCCACCGAGGACGTCCGTTGAGCGGTTTTTACTCACATGCTTCTGACTCCAAATGCATGGTGTCCTTCCCAGCACCTCTCCTCCAGCTCTGATTCTCCAGGCACCACTGGAGTGCCCAGCAGTTCAGTTCGCTTCTGACACTAGCCACTCGAATTAGCACACACCTGCAGGTCAGGGGTCACCCCACAGGGCTGTCCCCAGTTCAGACGACAGCCACAGGTCTGTGCTGCGCCTCCTGTACTTCTGATGGATCAGCTATCGGGGGTTCCCACAACCCCCTCAGGTTCTGGAATTTGCTAGAACAGCTCACAAAACTCTGATCAGCATTTTACTCCCTGTTTCCAGTTTAGTGTATGGGATGTAATTCAGGAACAGCCAGGTGGGAGAGAGGCAGAGGGCCCGGGGTGGGCAGGGGTGGGCTTCTGGGGCCTCTCCTTCCATGCACCGCCCTCCTGGCACCTCCACGCTCACCTGCCCTCCCTGAGGTCTCCGAACCCCATGTTTAGGGGTTTTATGGAGGCTTCGTTGTGTAGGCATGAGTCAGTCATTGGCCACTGCTGACTGACTCAATCTCCAGCCCTCCCCCTCCCCGGAGCTTGGAGGTCGGGATGGGGGGATGAGCTTCTAATCAAGACTTGGTCTTTCTGGGGACCAGCCCCATCCTGAAACCATCTAGGGACCCACCAAGAGCCGCCTCGTTAGAACAAAAGACGCTCCTGTCACCCCGTCACTCAGGAAACTCCAAGATCGGGAACTGAGGACAAATGCCAGATATCTTTCTATGATGCCACAATTGTAAAATAAAATTTTTATTGAGGTGAAATTCACGTAATGTGCAGTTAAGCATTTTACAGTGTACAGTTCAGTGGCATTTAATGCATTCATAATGTTATGCAGCCACTGCCTCTCTAGTTTCAAATTTGTCGTCTCCTCGTCCCCCCGACCCTCATCTTCTGGGAGCCTCTAATCTGCTTTCCGTCTATGGATTTGCCTATTCTGGATATTTCATACAAAACGAATCATACAACATGTGTCTGTTTGTGAGAGGCTTCTTTCACTTAGCGTAGTGTTTTCAGGGTTCATTCAAGCTGGAGCATGTGCCAGTGCTTCATTCCTTTCTATGGCTGAATGAAATATTCCACTGTATGGAGATACACACGTATGTACAGTCGATTCTCGTTACTCGAAATAGTTATGCTCTCTGTAAGGTCACCAGGAACATTGAGTTAGTGAAAACTGAACGGTTGCTACAGGGAGCCTAAAGGGTTAAGTTCCTGCGAGCCTCTGGTCACAGTTTTGTCAACTGATGGATACATACCTTGTTTCTTGAGTGCTTCTGTTTGAAACCTCCTTATTTACTGTACACTGTTGATTCATTAACATTGAACTCACAACCCAAGCACCATCATTCATGCCTGAACCAAGCTTGTCCAGCAGACATATTTTCTCTGTAAGGCACATCACAGCCCTCCTGGGCTTGGGAACCCTAGACAGCACTTCAGCACTGTGCTTGGGGCCATTTCAGATGGCAGAAGCACAAAAATTTGGTAAAAATGGCACTACATACATGGTGAAAAGGCCACTCGTTCAGTGTGAGAACTGCACAGGAAGGCCGAGTGCAGCTTGTTTCACAGCAGCCGGGGACGAGCCTGCAGCCAGCTGCTTTCTCACCACTCGGTGCCTGTCTGCAAGTGGACATGAAAGCCACGAGGACTGATTTTGGGTTTATAGGTAATTTTAGTGAGTAGCTGAATACAGAAACGGAACGCACGAATATTGAAGATCCGCTCTGCCACAGTTTGTTTATCCACTCAT